ATTGAAGGTGGGAGAGAGCGCTGTCCGTTCCCCCCCCCCACCTACAATCCTTGCCGGTACGAGACTCGAACCCGCAACCTTTGGGTTAAGAGTCCGACTCTCTAACCATTAGGCCACGACTTCCATGACTGGAAGTCCCCCTGACTTCCCCCACGACTTCCCCCCCTTAGAGTGGCTGAAGAGGAAGACAAATGGAAAAGATTCTGTCTTTTAAATAGAAAACTAATTTATTCCAGTATCTTGGATCTAGTTGTCGCACTCCAAATGCTCTAAAAAGGATTTCATGGTTTGTGCATCCTTATCATGAATAGTACAAATTTACAAAAAGGACAGACACTGACTTGTGCGATTTGTTTTAGGGCCTCACTCAGTTAAAACAGCCTCTATCGGTACGTTGGGAAGGACGAGAACTCCTATGCCTGTCATAGTTCCAAGTGCACCGGATGTCTCGGAAAGTAGCAGACTGCATGAAGATGCAGGGAGCGTGAGTACTTTAGTTCCTATAATGTTCCGTATTACTTTTTCTCTGTACATTATGACTCTTACAACATAACCATGCACATTTGAGTCATTTCTGTTATGCAGTAATTAGAACTCTGTAACATGCAAAACAAAATGCTTGTGTTATATGTATTTTTGGTCAAGTCTAGGAGCTTTAACAATATTAAATGTAGTTTAATTATTTATACAGTGGCAATAAAATGTATCTACAGTACAGCATATAACAGAAAAACAGTAAGGAACCAGTCAGCCATCTGCTCCAAAAATGTGTTTTATCTAATTTATTATGATAGGGACATGACAATGAACTGCTTAGTAGAATTACCTTTTTACAACATTTGGCATTGAATTCAAGGTATACATTTTATCATTATACATCAGCCCTATGATCTTGGCGTTGCTGGTGCCATGCTCTGCTGTTTGAGCTACAGCAATGTCATGCACTGTTACATACTATGTTTTTCTAGGGATACTGTTACATATCGAGTATACTGTTACATATTGAATATATTTAAATTGATAAAAAGCTAATAATAAAATGTTTTACATCTTTTTCTTCTCTCTCAAACCTTTACCTGCTTCTCCCTTTTAACGGCTGTATTTATTGCCTGCTTATTACAATTAATTATTGCAATTTTGCAATTTTTTAAAAATGATTTAAAACTGCTGATCGGTTCTCGTTTATCCTGCAAAATGCCCAATACTACCGTACCCCTTCATCCATTGTGGCTGTGCTATTTGATTTCCTGCTTTTCTTTTGCAGTACCATTGACCATCCCCTCATAAACCCAATTCCCCAAACCCCAGCTCACCCCAACCCCACCCCCCGCAGTAACCTTCTTCATCTCCCTCAGAATTATGAGACGGACGAGTTGACGGAGGAAATGGCCCATCTGGAGGGCTTAATGAAGGACCTAAACGCCATCACGACAGCCTGAGCACAATCCTCACAATAACACTAGACCTCACCCGTCACGGGGAGGACGTCCTGTACAGCATGGAGGAGTTCTCAATCATTCGCTAAATGGAGAGAGAAGAGTGTGAGATAGGAAAAAAAATACTAATGTTTGGCATACCTTGCTTTCTCTCAGGAAGGAGAAACCCATCAAATGAGGACAATGGACATTCTGAGAAAGGACATATCCTCTCAGCATCCTAAAACGTTTCCTTATGTTTCAGCGGAGACCGTTTGAAAAGACACCGTTTTATTATCCTACGAAAAAAGGAAAACGACATTACGCTGGTGTACGTGTTGGTGCTTGTAAGGCACAATTTAGTGTTTCATTTGTGTCTTTTCTTTGTATGTTTTTGTATCTATATATATTGCCCCCGTTTCAGTGAGCTGAACGTTGGACATCAATTTTTATTTCTGCAACTCATTTTGTATTAAGCATTTTGATTGTCTTTTTCTCTTTTGTATGTCATATAATGTGCCATGTCTTATTTTCTTAAACATGTTTTGTATTGTTTTATATGCATATACACTTATCTGTTTGTATATACGTTTAAAATGGACTCATTTCATCACCACAGCAATGTTTCCATTTAGTCCGAGACATGCTGCTTTTTCATTTGCCATTAGAATGGATTTTTGCAGTCTGCAACGTCACGTCCCCCTTCTACATTAAGCCTGTTTTAAATGGGAGTTCCCGTCAGATATGCCTTATTGAATTAGTGTGGAATGGCAGAAATCAGTACAACTGGGAAATATTTTCAAAATGTTTATCACACGACACTGTGATATTTATTCTGGAATGCTGAACTGTTACTGGTCACTCAGTCCGGTGGTACGAGAACGTAGACCTCCATCACGCATGCTGTCAAGACTTGGTGCTGAAACTCAAAACTTCAGGTTGCACACATGTAACTGCTAACTGAACAAATTTGGTACATTGGAAAGTGCTTTATATGGTTTATTTCCTCTTGCTGCATTGGTCTAAATTCTTGTATCAGAGCTTACACAAACTCAAAGAATGAATGACAACATTCACTGTGAGATTTTACGGACCACATGCTTGGCACTTAATGCAACACACTTTTCTACAGAACCCCCAGTGTTCATCTTTTATTTTCCATTATATTTCTTGTATTTGTTTCATATGAAGTACTTGTATAGAATTTCAATGTGCGAGGCAAAAAACCCAACTATTCCTCCCCTGCTGGATATGGTTTTGATCTGTACTTTTACCCAAAGAAAATATGTAACAGCAATCAGAATTTTGTTTTATGAATTTAATGTCTCAAACATTTTCTTGAATGTCATTCTGACTGTAAGAAATTCTGGGTAACTATAGGAACATGTTAAAAAGCTTGGTAGAACAAAAACAATGACCTATTTGGGATAACCTATCAAGTTGTAGACAGTCGAACCTTTATTGCACTTTTTCAACAATTTCAAGAAAAGAAAAAAAAAACATTTTTACATATCCTGTGTTTTGAATATAAAGCTCTATTTGTGTAATGTAGTGTCATAGTTTAGCATAGGCAGCTGGTCTTATTTGTTCTTTTGCCTCCGAAATAATATTTGAGCGGCAGGTTTTACTGTGTTGCATATGCAGAATTCTGTTGTTGCTTATTTCTGTACAAAGATCATCTTGCTGTCTCTAGAAATACTCGGTGGCTTTTTAAAAAAAATACTAAAAACACTGCCTTTGGTTCTTATTTACTTGCATGCACTTTAAATATTTTGAACTGATGTTTCTCAGGACTCCCTCAGCATTTAAAATACCTCACTTTTCTGGTCAGTCATGATGGCTGAATAAGGACCTTTAACCGTAATTCTCCAAACATTGGTTAGAAACCACTAAAATCGAGCATAATTGGAAATGTACGAAACCCGTTTCCATTTTATTTTTCCATTACTACAGAAAGCTGGTTTTCATAGAATAGACACCTGACATCGGTTAAGTATTCAACATGTGTCTTTCACATTTTCAAATCGGAATCAGTTGTATATCTGTTTTTAGACTGCCGTTACTATTAACATTTCAGAAACCCTTATGTGCAATCTAGTTAAAGCTTGCTTTAACTGGGTGTAACTGCTTTGTATTACAACTTGAACAAGTCAGATCTAGTGTTATGAGTGACGTCAGGAGAATAATGATCATCCAGATGATCAAAAAGAACTTGTTCAAACACAAGGATGTTCTCTTTTTTTTGCAGTCTTTATTGACTTCTGATAAATTACACCTCTAGACTCCTCTGGGTGTTTTAAAGTTCATTCCAATACTTGGCTGGGTGACCTGCAAGTTGGAGATGTTGCCGAAGTCCTGCAATGAGAGAAAGAATGGGTTAAGTTATGTAAAATATAGCCGTTGCAGCACATAGGATTAAGTTTTTGCAGTTCATCTACACAAACTACAGTCAAACCAACTTACGAAAGTCTTCAGCATTTCCTTTGTATCTGGATCAACCTCAATAATCTCCTGATCCAAAGCAGAGACCTGAGAACAGAGTGAACAAGCACATGAAATAAGGGACTAATGCAGTACTAGTGACATGGTATCATGCAGCAAATTATGAGATTGTCATTTTTTGGGCTCTTCATAAGGAAAAACCAAGGCAGTTCGAAAAAGGATAGCATGTAGGGATATGTAAAGTCACATCTATGATATTCATATTGTTTTAACGATGTGGAGGCTGATACTACCAAAAATAATCGCTCACTTTGCAACAAAAATACACCTTAAGAAATCAGGCTTTCACTCATGATGTGGCCCAGCAGAAAGCAGTTCAAATGAGCCCACACTCAAAAAAGAGGTCAAACATGCCCCTTATGAGTTTACCTCGTTTTTTATTACATGACCAAGAGTGCCATTTTAATATAAGCATGACTGCAAATGTGATGTTTATTGCCCTGTTGCATAAAATCAGTAAGTTAATATTGTGAACTATATTTTAGATACGGTCATCAAAAATGGTTCTAAAAACTGCAACATAACCGTTGTTTCCTGAACGTAACGTTTTTGAACAAATCAATGATCTATTCACAAAAACAGTCATCTGCTTAGATTCTCAACGAATCAGCTGTTGAATGAATGCTTCTATGACTCATTAAGTGTCAGTTTCATATTTAAATTCATATTTAAAATAAAATTATATTTCAATATTCAAAATATTTAAAGCAAATCTCAGTATTATGCAATTGCAGTTCAAATACATCTACACACTGCTAAAGACATCTTCTGTGGAAAAAAGGATTTTGTTGGATATCATTTGATTGGTAACAGCCTATAGTGTCTTATTCTTACTGAAATTGATTAAATGCAATAATCTGGCAAAAAAAAAAAAATCATAAAATTAAGCCCACATCCTCAACTAATATTAAAAAAAAAAAAAAGGATAAATGCCCCGGAAAATGTAAGATGTCAAGCATTGCCGCTTAAATGCAGTAATATGGCAAAAAAATTATAATAATAATAACAAAGTCCACATTCACATCTAATAAGGTGTTCACAATCTAATAAATTCAGAAAAATATATAAATAACGCCCCCGAAGAATTCATGTCAAACTTTTCTGCTTAATGAAAGAGTTAATTTCTCACTGGTATGAACTGACCACTACACAGAATAAGAACAGACTTCAACAGACCTTAAAGGGGTCATATGATGCGATTTCAATTTTTCCTTTCTCTTTGGAGTGTTACAAGCTCTTGGTGCATAAAGAAGATCTGTAAAGTTGCAAAGACTAAAGTCTCAAATCCAAAGAG